ATAAGTTAAGATTAAAAAATATATATATATATATATATATTAGGAACCAAACTAATAGAAGCATTCAATGAATCCGGACATCTTTTAAATTCATTGAATGAGGACATTTTGCTTGAGCTCTCTAAATGAACATAAAAAAAAAAAAGAAAAAAGACAAATGCTATTATTAAATCAATTTAAATATGTGATGATGTATTATCTAAGAAGGATAAATTTTTTTTATTTAAAATTTTTTTTTCACCCGACTCAACATTCAAATATAAAAATTGAAATTTCAAGTTTTTAATTAATTGAATTATTTTGTTAGGAAGAAATCATTTTAAATATATAATGATCTTTATTTTTTTGTAGTTGGTTAAGAACCTAATAAAGGTTTATATAAGATCAAACTCAACCTCAAACTTGAAATGTAATCTAGAAAAGTCACCTTCCAATTATGGTGGATTTCTTCGAGTGGCAACGTTTAGGAACCAATTTGCCACTAGAAAAACTATAAGGACTTATTTGCTAGCACTGAACTAGTTTGGGAGCCTCTTTGTAGGATTTTTCTAAACTAGTCTATCTACCTGTGTGTATTTAATTTGGTGTAGTGTTGAAGGCAATGAAACACACATGAAGCACTCCAAGAGAGTGTTTCAATTAGTTAAAATCTTAAAACTTTTAATTATGAATTAGTACCATATTCAAATTTTACTAAAAATGGAAAGAGATTATAAAAAAAAATGAGATATTTATTATATAATTTATTATCTGATATATGAAAAAAAAAAAACACAAATGAAATCCTCAAATCTTCTCTTTTGTTACTTCTATTTTTAGCATTTTGTTACCTAAACATGTTAAAAATGGAGAACTAACTTCCCCCTTGGGCCAAAATTCAAGAAGCCAAAACAGAGAACTGAATTATAGTATATGTACCTGTATCTTGCGCATTGCAATTTACATGCGTGAGGAGTCGGCCACCTTGGAAAGGCCCTGGGGAAAATAGTTAGAACTTTGAACAATGTTATGTGAATCTAAGAAATGGAGATCCTTTGGACTCGGGAAAGACAAGATTTATCGGATCATTCCCGATTTCTTTTTGAAACATGATCATTCCAAAATGAGATGAACATGACAAATTATGTCGACATTATATTGAAACATGATCATTCCAAAAAAGAGATGAAGATGACAAATTATTGAAGCAGTGATAGTTGGTGGGTCCTTAATATTGATAATTATTCTCAATTTAATTTTTATTTTATAATTTAATGCAATTCATATTACAAAGTAAAAGATTCTTATGTTAGTAGGTAAAGGGTTGGAACTCTCGTCAACATCTTCTCTTTTATAAAGGAATAGAAATATAAGAACTGTAAATTCGACGATTCTAGAAAAACTAAGGGTACTTTTGGTTTGATGAGAGAGGAGGGAGGAATTTTTCTTCAAATTAAATATACTATACAAGTTAAAAAGATATATTAACCCCTAATTAACACTAGCTAACCAAACTTTACCTTGCAATGGGTCAAATTTAACGATTTCATAATTTTCGATGGCTTTGTTTAGTTAAGTCATTAAAAATAAATAATTACAATTATTAAATAACAATAAAAAATTAATATGTATTACTTAACTCTTTTTAAACACCCCCACCAAGTTTGGTATGCCAAAAAGAAAGTGGGAATGGGCATCCCATGTCATGCTCACTCCTAGTACTAAACTAGGAATCAGCAACTTTTTTTTATTTTTTTGGTATAAAGGGAATAGGGGGTAAGGAGAAAGGGAAATGAGGGCAAAAGGGTTCGAACCTAGTGGTGTGAGTAGAAAGTCCATACAATAGTCATACAAAGCACACATTAAGGTTTTTTAAGTAATCAACAAATTGAAATAACAAAAAAAAAAAAGATATTTAAGTACTAAAAGATAAAAGATAAGATTTTACCAATTGAAAACAATCACATATTATAAATTTCAACGAAGGTATATAATATTTCCATTACATATTGTCTTGCAACCGTAAGATCAAAAGACTTTACAAGTGCATTCTTCCATTGTAACCCATTGATGACCACTGCAGCCCAACAGGACTGTTACACCTTTAATAAGTGGTCAAACCTCGTTAAAAGCAAAATACTAACTTAATTTTTAACTTCTAACAATTTCTTCGGTAAAAAAAAAAAAACCCAAAGTCCTTACAATCCTTGGCGGGAAACGCTGTCAAACTGGTGGCTCCGGCAGGCACTTGGCATGGACTATAGGTCCCAACTCTCCATTGCGAGCCTTCATGTAAACAGCTCCTTTGTACATCCAATCTTCAGTCGAATCACAGTAAAAATCTTCAAAAGCTTCATTACATAACGCACACAATTTCTGATCATAATTCGCATGAACAATAAGTAGTTCATCAGTTTTCTTCTCATTCAAATTTTCCTCAGGATAAAGCCAGGATTCAGGAATTGCAGGGGATGGTTCTTCGTCGGAACTCGGGAACCACGGACGAGAAAGCCTAAGTGGTTTCGCACTTCTGTTCTTCTTCGCTCGATTCTTTCGCACATGCCAGTCCATGTGTCTGCTGTGTTCTCCCGAGGTCTTGAACCGGAGCCCACATGTCGAACATTGTCTTGGCATATCGGAGTACAGGGCGTTTATTACCGATTCATGGCGCTTCTTCAGCAAGGCTGGGTCGAATTCGAGTCCTATTGAAGCTGGCTCTGGTTCTGGTTCTGGTTCTGGTTCTGGTTGGGTTTGGATTTCTTCTGTTGGTTTAATCAGTCCTCGTTTAGCCAGAGAATTAAGCAGATCTACAATGGCGGTGCCGGATAAAGGAAGAGGAGGCGGCGGCAGCGGCAATGAATCGGATTTAACTTGTGAATTTGAAGGTTGGGTTTTTACGATTTCTTGAACAGGGGAAGGCAGAGGAGTAGGATTAACAAGACCTAACATCGGTGCTTGGGGTCCTTGAACTGTCGGCATAACCAAAGTCGTAGCCCCGGGAGGAACAGGACCCACGACATTCGCCTGGCGTTCGTGCTGGAAACCGGGATCGATTGCCATCGCCGGAAAAGGGTTCTGACATGAATTGATCGCCAATAACGCCGAAATCGTATCAACAGTCGCATGAGAGATTTGTGGGGAGTATCGCGGTATGTTGATTGAACTGGGGTTGTAGTCAATCGGAAACCCATTAAACCTGTGGCCGCCGTTGATCGACGGAAGCCCTGTTTTTGGGCGTTTCAGGGGAGGAAAAACAGGGTATTGGCCGCAAAGCTGACTTCTTTTTCCGCCGCCGAAGGTTCGGACCATCCAGCGTTCTCTATCGTAGGGAAGAGTGGCCATTGATGAACAAAACGGAAGAGCAAAGAACAAAAAAGAAGCAGCAACGGGAATGGCGATTAGGGTTTCTACTTTCTAGTTTTCCTCAGAGTGTAGGGAGAGTGAGGAGAAGGCAAACTGAAGGTTAGTGTATTGCGTTTTTTTCTCTAGTTATTTATAGGTTCAGATCCTACTCAGAAGTCCTAATCCGTAGATACTTAAAATTGACTAATAAAGTCATAATCCTGTTCTTACCTGAATTTCAAGTTTGGTACGAAAAAGGAGGAGACGGTGCGATAGAAAACGGTAAAATTGAAATGTTAAATTCCAAATTTGGGTCCTTTAACTTCAAAGTTTTGTAAATTTTTGTCCCTTATATATTTTTTTGGTCTCTCAACTCTTGTACAATTTGGTCCCTCAACTATTGACGGGATGCCTCCCATGGACTAATCCTATTTAATGGTTTAAATTATTTTAGAATAAATAGTTTGGCTTATTTTTTAGGCTATATCGTAAATTATTTGATGACATGAAGTCATTACATAAGAAGAGTTCTTCATATTATAAAATATAAATGATTAAATAATAAAAAATTTATAATATAAAGAGACTCAGATTTTATCAAATAATTTAAATTGTGCAGTAAGAATTGCACAACACTAATTGTAATAAGCATTTTACATAGAGATTTTTTTTTTTTTCAAATGCTAGATAAATGATAAAAGCTAAAAAAATACCACAATCTAAACTAAGGTGCAAAAATTCAAGTGATAGGTAAAATGAATCCAAGTAGTGATCATTCCTTGTCTACATAACGTAATAAATAGTTTCTTTTCTAGTAAAGAGTTGAAGCTAAAATTTTTAGTAATATGTATGTTTGGTTTTAGCTCTTATAATTTGCACTTTCACCTAGATGTGGGATTGGGAGTGTCTCAGACCGAACATGAAGCATCTAATTTTCAAATGAATAAGAGACATAGGATAACCAAAGGACTCGGTTTCTTCAGAACATTTTGGCTGCTTTTTATACCAATAAACAACAGAAAACGTCATTCAACCATTCAACAAAACTCAAGTGAAAGGAAAATGACCACAAAAGTTCTCCAACACAATTAAGTACTGAATTTTCATGTAGTGCAGGCTCTCATAGTTCTATTACACCTAATAATTCAGCACATAATATCATATCCAGGATCAAGGACTGTTGAATTCTTTAAGAAGCTAACTTGTACTCCTGGAGGGGAAGGGAGTAGTGTTTCCTAAGCTTTCAGCAATTGAAACCTTAATATCTTCAGCAATCGAAACCTGGTTGGCAAGACGAGAGATCAATAGGCTTTCTTGCTGATTATGAATCATCTTGAGCTGCCTTTCTTGCTCTTCGATTCGCAACTGCAAATTTCTCTGAATCTATCCAGTGAGAAAAAGTAGAGACCAGAACATAAAACAAGTTCATAATCCTGATTACCCTCAGGTATATATTAACTGACATAAAGAAAAGGTTCAAACTTCCGTTGCTACTGTTTCATTAGAAATTCATACCATATAGTTTAGATGGAATATAGATGCATACAGGATTAGGATGATACAAAATCAATGTTTTATCACATTATACCTGTATTTGTTCATGGAGACGCCTCTGGATTTCTAATTGAAGTTCCAATGCCTCCCTGATGTGCAAGCCACTGCAAATTGAAATTGGAAGTGAATTAAATGTGTAATATTTATGTAATCTATCTTCCCTAAGATAAGAGATTACATTTTGGCATCGAGTTGAGGTACACCATTCATGGTGGCTAGTCTTTTCTCAAAGAAACCTGCAATAAGAAACAGTGTTCATGAGAAAAAAAGTGTTGTAAACCAACAAGGAGAAACCTGAATCTTGAAGAAGAATAGAATTCTCTCCTAACTAAAGTTGCAGGTTTTTAGCTACAAGAAACCACCTTAAGATAATGTGTTCGATTGTGGATTTTACTGTCACTTAACCCTGAGATGTTTTTTGCTATGGATGCCAATCTTGTTTCATCCGTCTTATGGGATTGTTTAGTTGGTCATTTTTGTTGCCATCTGCCATTTTAGGGTATCTTGAATCCCAACTTACCGTATTTCTATTCTAGGTATGTTCACCAGAATTTGTATTTTTCCCTTTCATGAAGGAAATGTACAAACAAGAAGAACATAATTAATAATGAATAAAGATAATCAAGACTAAAATTTTGGGATTAAAAATTAAAATTAATGATATGATATAAATTTTGTTACTTAAAATATTTATATCTGTCATTTAAAATATTTATATTCGTCATTTAATATATTAAAAGGTGAATGATTAACATATTTGATTTTAGGAAAATGATTTTTGTATAACTTTTTTGTTTTACATTTTTGTACAACTTGACGTGTCATATTGGTTCTTTTAATTTATATGAAATCCGTGATATTGTATGTATTCACTCATTTAATGACATGTGAAAGTTGTATAAAAAGGTAGTATAAAAATATTATCCCTATAACACCACTCTTTACTTCATTAAAATTTATAATATTATATATATTAATTCATTTAATAACATCATTTATACTATATTATTAATTTTTAATTTTTGTGTCTGTATTACTGGCCAATAAAATTGCAGTCACAAGTCACCACTCTGAAATAAGACAACTAAGAAAACCAGTCTTAAAAGTTCGAAGGGATAAATAATGGTGGAGAATTATATAAAGTAGGAAATAACAATATTTTCTTGTTTATTTTATTTATTTATTTTTGAAGAGAGCAGATCTGAGAAGTGGGGAACTGTTATCCCCTGAAGCTCGAACTCATCACCTAAAGGGGTGTTCACCCATTAAGGAATTGGCTATTACTAGTTGCCCCAAAATGTGAGGAACATTTGTTGGCTTTATTTTAGTTACACATTGTTATGGAAATTGACCCTTGAAGCTCTAGAAAAAGCACTTTTGTATCTTTTAATTTTGAAAAGATTTGGAGGAAGGTGAGAATTTTTACCATTGAAGTATTTATAAACTAGTTTTGCAAAAATAATTCAATCCATCATTATTTTTGTCTTAAAATGACAATCATATTTTTTTCTCTCATTAAATTAATGATTTGAGGGTAATATTTATATTTATTTATAATATAATTAAAAAAAATAAAAAATAAAGAGAGACTTTGCCTAATTAGATGATTAATTAAGATGAATAGATAATAGTATGATTAAAGTAGAAAAACATAATTGTTTATCATTTTTTTATTTTGATTACACAATGGACGCAATCCTTTTTTATCTTTTACTTTATCTCATCCGCATATCATATAATTCAAATTTAGAATCCCTTATTTTTAATAAAAAAAATTAAGTTACTTAAACCGTTGGTAAATATTTGTTTACCATAAAAAGTAAAAAAATAACAATTAATTTAAAAAAATTAAAAACAAAAAAAAAAAAACAAATTTTTTGACAAAGAGGAGAATAATACCTGGCATTTAAGCCATCCTTTCGTCATGAGGACTGAAATTTAAATTGTGGATGCGGCCCATATCTTCATGATGATCACAAGCCCACACATATGATCAGTGGGTCCATTCATGTATATATAATTTCCTGACATTCATTATACTCACGAGTTCAGATTGGGTTTAGGCCCGGAAAAGTGATGTAGTTAGATGTTGGATTTTTGTCCCCATCTAAGTTCACTATTTTGCTTCGTAAGTTATTATAATTTGAACTATTTTTCACCAGAGATCATTGATTTCAAACTCAGAAATACATTTTAAAAGTCTGAGAATTCTATTTATAAGTAAACAAGTATCATTTTATACAATAAATTTAAGATTTAAGTCTTAATGTTAGTAACTAAAAGAATTAATTTCTTTAAATGTATTAGTTTAATATAGATAAAAATTAGCCGAATTGTAAATATAAAAGGAAAAAAAAAACTTTTTACAATCTGGGTTAAACCCCACTTATGATGTTGCAGTCGGACTGTTGTGATGCAATATATCATTCTTTTCTAAATTTTAAAGATTTAATCTGACGTATGATTTGTGATTGAATTTTCATTCATAATCTAACAATTGAAAAACATCAAAATCATATGATTTAAGAGCTCTAAGTCTTTCTCTTAACAAAATTCACACCAAAATTCACACAAAAAAGTAGGTGTGATTATAATCACACAAGTATTTGTTAACATCATACAAATTATAATATATGTAATTGATTTGATTGATATTTTATTTTTTGAAATAAATATTTAAAAATATCAATTTATAAATTAATTTTAATATGTTAAATAATAAATATTAATTGTTTAATTAACTATTTTAAACACAATATTCATAGTTTAAATAAAATTCGTATTTTTAAAAATAATATTAACAAAATTTATATAACCTTAATAAATTCTTATGTGATTATAACCATACTTTAAAAAATGCATGGGTGTGAAATCATTCTCATGTTAGTCACCAGTTTACCAACATGAAATCATCGAAAAAAATCCATAGATCATGAAAGTAACGCGAGATATGGAATGTGCATCATGCAAGGATTGCCTTAAAACTTCCCATGTGCAAATGATTGTTGAAGATGATGCCATTGAAGCTGTCAATGATTAGGGGTTTCTTTTAACCACACCTTAAAAGATGTATGGGTGTGAAATCATTCTCATGTTAGTCACAAGTTTACGTACATGAAATCATCAAAAAAATCCATAAATCATAAAAGTAACGCGGGATTTGGAATGTGTATCATGCAAGGATTGCCTTAAAACTTCCCATGTGCAAATGATTGTTGAAGATGATGCCATGGAAGCTGTCAATGATTAGGAGTTTCTTTCCTTTTGACGAATGTATAACATTTCCATACGCATCAAAATTAAAGGATGAATTTTTGCTTATGATGAATCACAACCATCGAAGAGCTGTATACTATGAATCCCATCTCGGCAAATTTGAAAATCAAAGAGTTTGGTTCATATTTATTCAACGAATCCCAGATGCATGCTCGCCTTTTGGTATTAGGTACCTTTGCAACCAATTTCTCTCCTCATACACATCGATGGAATCCAACGTTCAAAAGTTCTACCAACTATAGAGCAACTACAATTAATACCCTATTAGTAAGAGTTCATTCAAGTTAATCTCAAGATTCATATAAATTGATAAATTGATGATTTAATAACACTATCCTCTTAATTGTAGTAGATATTTAAACTCAAAGGAAGATAAGATCAACAGCCACGTAATGATTGTACGATATTGTTCTATTAGTTTTGTCTCTATATTGCAATATGTGTTGGTTTTGCTCGACAACTGCATTTTTTTTATTAAAAACTAATTAACAATCATAAATTCATAATCACATAATAATTAAAAAAAATTGGACAACTAATCAAGGAAATTGATTAATCTCAGCTTCGTTGAATCACTTGATAAAGTCTCTCTCACATTTACATCATCTCATAAAAATTAAAACAAAATTGTCATTCTCATCACAGTAGGTACAGTTTCAAGTGTACAAGTAATTACTTGTTGCAATATCTCCCACGTTGAACAACAACCTCGGTGAAAAATCACACCGACGAATTCATCTGATAGGATAAACCAATAATCCGTCCCCAAAAGTGGTTTTCAAGAAAATGACATTAATTTGTTTGCTTCAATTGATAAGGTTTGATTTATCTTCTTAATTTTTCTAGTATTCTTACCTTGTATCTTTCTCAAGTAGTCACTAGTCATTACCCCTTCACCCCTTTTTCCCTAACTCAACAATATTAAATCTATAGTCTAGATCCTTGTGACAAAACTCAAAATTCATAGTGGACGAGCGTCACCATTTTCCTTGACCCTTGGATTATGCTTGGTTGAGAATAATTGGTGTTCCGTTTTCTTTTTCCATGTACAAATGAAGTAATGAAATTCACTGGTACATATATGATGCAAAGAGATTGCATCAATATAATCTTTATGAGGCTAAACCTATGAAACTATATCTATAGCACTAGTAACAAATGACTTAATTTGCCTAAGGCAAATATGAACAATTAAGTATAAAAAATCATTAGTTATTAAAAAATTATCCAGAATTGTTACATAGGGGAATAAATAGATTTGAAAGAATCATTTTGTCGCATGTCTAGAAGCATCTAAAAAGTCTAATATGATATTCTAGCTTCTGAGGCAAAATATTTACCAAGGTCCTCACCATCGACCATGTTGTCAACAGCTGAAGTGATACATCCAATTCAACCACACAAATCTGCACTACCTTCCATACCTACTACGAGCGAAACCTAATGAAAATTATTGAGAGTTAGAGAGGGAAAAACAGCTACTAGGGTATGGGAGGAAACAAGAAAGAATGAGATTAAGAAGTTGAAGAGGGAGAGAGGATGAGATTTACAATTGAATGTATAATTTATTCCCATAAAAATAAGTTAAAATAAAAAAACTTTCTTTAAAAACTTACATAAGAAAATAAGAATAACTAATCCTTAGTCTTTAGTTTTCCTTCTACGTTATATAGAATCAATAAATAACTATTTTTTACAAAATGAAAGGTATATGTATTTCTCATTCCTCCCTTAATTTAGTAGAAAGCTATCAACATTAAAACTTAACTATATTCCCTACTTTTTAAAGAAGTTTCTCAAATTTATCTCATTTTTATAGTTTAATTAAGAAATAGCTATTATCACTAATCAAACACGATAAAGGTGAGTTTTACTTTTCTACCCTTGAATTTTGGTAGGCCGATCCTTGAACTTTTATTAGTGGATTTCTGGCGGGAAGAATTTCTTCTCTTTTTTTTTTCTTTTTTTTTTTCTTTTGACTAACAGGGAGACTAATTTTTCCACTTGACCCTTGGGATTTTTGGCGCAGAGTAGACTGTGGGTAGAATTGGGCCTTCTTCTACTTCTTTTAATAGTTCTCCTTAACCCCTGGGATTTTTGGTGGGCAGAGTTAAATTTTTGCTTCATATACACGAAGACGACTGGATCCAATTTTTTTTCTTCTTTCGTCACTTAAAACCATCATCATCGATATTTTGTGATGTACTTTTGGAAAGGTCAGATCTTTATCATGTTTAGGTACTGTTGAATAATTTATTACTATGTGTTTAAGTCTACAACAACCCCCTTTCTTTTTACAAGATTAATTCAGATGCTGGCCGATTTGATTTCCAGCAAAGTTAGAGGATTATTGTAAAAGCCGGCTAGCCCCCTACCCCACACCAATATTTTTTTGAACATATTTGCAAGGGGCAGGTTTCGAACCCAGCCCGGGGAGGGGGGAATGCACCGGGGTGGATATTACCACTAGGCCTCAAGGGCCAGGTGCACCCCACACCAATATTATGTCACTAAAAATATCAATAAGTATCATGTATTTAGGAAACCTAACTTTTAGAACAATTTCTCGTATATATAAAATGTGAAACTAAAACAAATTTAAAAGTTAAATGATCAAAGATTTATTTCAAAAGTTACAAATAAATAGTTTTAGTTAAAGAAAAAAAGGTTATATGAGCATTTTCAAAAAAGCTATATTCCATGTGAATTGAATTAGAGAAGTTCTTTTAGAAGCATGGCCAAATGGGCACTTCAAAAAGATTCACTCGAAAAGCACTTATGCATAATTTTTAATTTTCAAATACTCTTAAATATATATATACACTAACTACCTAAATTCAAATTATATAGTATATGCATAAAATAAGTTAAGAGATAAGAAAATTTTTTTCTCTTATTATATAAGTTAAGATTAAAAAATATATATATATATATATTCTTAAATAAAGAAATGACCATTTGTGGTGCTGAAACTTAGGATACTTGTTCAAGGATATGCTCTCAGTTGCATCACACCAAAAGGAAACTGTACAAATTAATTGCACTGCTTGAGATCAGCAGCTAATAGTTTTTGCCTCCGAACAATATATTCTAAAAGCAAAACTGCCAGAAACCTGCATTATATTATTCCTGGGGCTGGTAATTTTGGCGGATATTAAGCCTTAATTGCCGTTTAGTTCAGTTCTCGAATATTGCTAAAAATATTTTATAAATTTTTACATGTGTAAAAACTTTATAATCTCTCAGAATTTCTGCATTTTTTAATTACTTTACGAGGCAGAGGTACCGAATTTTCAAAAAAAAAATAAAAAAATTATAAGCGGGTCTTATGGTAGAAAAACCTAGGGATTTGTTTTTCTAGTTACGTACTCGCAGGATCCTAATTATTCCAAGCCCTCCGCATCAGATCTGAGGAAATATATATCTACTTAGCTTATTATAATCGACACCTATCAGAGAAATTAAGCAGCTATATATTTGCGAGAGTTTGCATAACTGCCAAGATTGATCAAATTCTAATCCAATGGATTGATTTAATGGTTAAAAATTTGATATTTCAAATTAAAGATTTTAACTTTAAATATTGAGTTGGACAACGAAGGATTTAAGAAAAATGAAGAATTATCTCATCTTATATAATCCGGTAATGCTTTGTACCAAAAAAATTAATCAAATTCTTGTACTATTTGTATTATTAGATCAAAAAAAATATTTTATAGTATGGATTATATAATTTAAATTATTAATAAAGGCGAGACTTGGATTATCATCTTCTAACCATTTTTTATCTTACTTCAAAATAGGATTCTCTTGTTAGGCCATTCCAAAGTAGTCCCTTTATATTTCAAAATTCATTGAAGGCAATGTTACAAAGCAGCTAATGGTAATGCTTTAAAATAACCTTAAAGTCCATGGGCAAATTGGTAAGCAAGCTCCTTTATAGTGAAGAGAACAAGGTCCTTGATTCCCACACTGGCACGCACCATCCTAAAAAATTATGGTTGGGCCATCCCGTCTAAAAACTTTGCACCCTCTTCAACCTTTCTCACTCAAGACACCTTCTGCTACTTCTTCTTCTACTTCTACCTTAAGCTCCATGAAGATCAAAACCCTAATTCACACCCTGTTTTACACTCATATTTCGCGCATTCTTCGAGCTCTTTCCAAGGCAAAATCAAAAATCATCCAAACCTTCAAAGAAAACCAAGCCATCCATTTTATTCTTTACCCCACAAAGAAATTGAAGAAACACAGACATAAGAAAACATTTTTTGGTTCATTTAGGCTGCACTACAACTGGTGCTCCTCCCATGTGTTACCGGTCCCAGCTCCGGTCCTAAACCGGCTCCCGGACTCTCATCTATACAATGATTCAACGTGGAATTCAATGATTTCAACCGAGCCGAAGGAGGAGGCCTCGGACTCTCAGCTTTCTGGCTACCTCCAATGGTTAGAAGAAAAGCCGAGTGAAGAGACAGAAGTGAATGAGATTGATAAGCTTGCGGATATGTTCATTGCTAGTTGCCATGAGAAGTTCTTGTTGGAGAAGGTGGAGTCATATAGGAGATTTCAAGAAATGCTAGCTAGAAGTGTATGACTTAGTTTTTGTTTTTTTTTTTAGGCTTTCCTATTTCTGTTTTGGAAAGTATAGTAATTGGCAAGTGGCAACTGAGTCCTTCTTTGCCTTTTTGCTTTTCAACTTTTATCCTTTTTGTTTTGAAATTTGAACTGGAAATGGGGTTTGGAGAATTGGACATGACTTGAAGACCAGGGTTGGCATTTTGTGCAATTCTTCTCTAAAAATTTGGATGGTGATCTTTGCAAGGGATATCTATTAGTACTGTAAGGATTAATTGCTGATCATTGAACTTACTAAAAAATTTTCCCCTTTTCCTACTGCTGGGTTAGATAGCAAAAAATTCATTTTCAATCTGTACTGATATATTATTTTATCAAAATAGATTAGAATCAACATTTCTGCGAAGAAGGCACAGAAGATTTTTTTAAATTATTATGGATCTACGGACAGATCACGGCGTCCTATTTGCCATAGACAAGTAGATGAATGTTCTAGTCAATAGAGTTGTTAATTTTCATTGAGATAAGAGCTAATTTGTCTTTTTCTCCTTCTGGATTTAGCATTTGTTGATTGCAATAAATTTCCACTATAGTAAAGTGTTTATTAATTTTTAGTTGCTTATTTTAAAATTTTAAAAATTAATGAAATATATAAATTTTTATTCATTATATAAAATTTTAAAATTATCTCTTAAAATTTAAGATATGAAATTAAAAATTGACATAAAAATTTCTTAAATTTACAATTCATCCTTGCAAGTTGCACTTTTTAAGCCAAACCAAAGTAAATTCAAATATTACCTTAACTTCTAGGTTGTTGCAAGAAACTAAAAACTAGATGCTTTGGTTTTTTGATTGTGGAGGTTCCAATTATGTCCTACAGGTGTACCATTTCAAAGTTCATCATGAAAATTAGATTTCCCAACTACCTTCTCATGCTGATTGTATATGTATGAGTACCAACCTTCTGACTTATGATGGAAAAAGATACATCATTTTGGTATTTGTGCTAATCATTTTCTTTTATCTGTATTTTTCTGAGTCTAAACAAAGCAGGGGGACTGGTTCAATGCCCAACTCCTCTGGATTACAGATGGGCATGATTCATGTGATGTTTTTGACTTATTATTCATGAAATGTCATATGGTTAGATCATAATTAATTAAAAATGGGAAGACTAACTAATTTTTTTTCTTAGAATTTTTATACAAACTTCAGTTAAAGAGCATGTAATTTGTCATAAAATTTCTTATATACACTCAATTTAGATGACTCATCTTTAATTAAATTATTAAAAAAATGATTTTATAAAAGTTTGAAAGACACTTACATAGTTCTAGTTTTTATCTCAAAATTCTAAATAATCACGTATATGATATAATAATTTAAGTAAAATTAGCACATCGCATGGATGGTGACTTCCAAGTTTTGAGTTTCAAATTCCTCTTGGACTGAAAAATTGCAAATTGATCCAAGACCAGTCAAGAGTGAATGCTTTTGTACAGAGTTTTTAGGACTGTAAAGCAGTAAAAGGCACATATAAGGCATCAATTCAGAGTTTTTTTTTTTTTTTTCCCCTTCCTTCTTCTTCTTCGTCTTCTTCGTCTTCTTCTATTGTCGGTTTCTTTATTCCAAAACTTTGCTGCCTTTTTTTTTTTTTTTCGTTCAACGTATGGGAGGGATAGCTTTAGCATAGTGGTACTGGTTCCCTTGGTCTCCTTGTTTCCTCATGAATGGACTACCTTTATATTGGAAAGTGAATGCCCGCTTTGTACTTCTTGGGATTTTATTCTCCTTAGGATAATGTTTAAAATTTGTAGTTTATAAACTTTATCTCATTGATTTAAAAGAAACATATTTATTTAGCACTTTTAGTATATCAATGGTTACATAGGGTAGGCTGATGTGAAGTTTGCATTTCATTGTATACTATAAACTAGGATTCAATTCAGATCCCTAACAAAGTTTCTTTGTAGAAATATTTTATAGTCTGAACTGATTAAATAAAAAGTTAGTCTATGTTGGGAGAGACTTAATAACCCCCAATGAGAGTTAGTTACAAGTGAAGCTTCATTAAAGACATTCAAGTATTAATTTTCAGCCTAATCTGATTTTTTATTTAGTCAATTTGAACTAATTTACTACTAATGTTTTAGTTTCAATGTGAATAATTTACCTATAACGAGCGAAAAGATGGAGTTAATATAGTATTTGCATGCTAACTTGAAATACCATGCATGTGATCCCTATTGCTAGAGCAAACAAACTAGCAACAAAATTTGAAATCTACAGTTTGCTGCTCTCACTTTAATATATGTTGAAACATCAGTGGCAAACTAGCTGCAGGAACTTTTAGAAAAGGGTTGGATATTTGAAATTTGGTTTGATCATTTAAAGCATCGATCGTCGAATTTCAAGGTGGCTGCAGATCGCATGCCTCCTCTTCCTTCTCTCACATATTAACATCACAGCTAGGGGGCTGCCACGCTTTTGTTGCTTCTTGTAATTTGTTGAATAGTTGAGGTATTATCCTGTGGCCTATTTCGTTTCCCTCGTTCATTTGAGATTTCAAAGTACAGAAAAGTAAAGGGCATATGTTATAGTCAGCCCCACAAAAGAAAAGGAGAACCAAATGTTATTGCCTATTTTTTTTGAAAAAACAAAAAGGAAAGAAAAGAAATGGGTTTGCTTCTCATTTCATCGATGAAGGTTAGATTTCTTTGAAAAGATAAGAAGAGAGATAAGAGAAAATAAGAAAAATTAGTTTCATTTAGTATAGTTATGGTTTTAAAATTTATAATTTTAGTTTTTATAAATCTGAAAAGTACGTGTTGTGCAAATTAATTTTCTATGAATTGCACAACTACAATTATTGATAGGGAGGCCTCCTCCCCTAAAATCAATAGCCAATTTTTTTCAATTTGACTCAAATCAAATTACAAAAAAGCATTATCTTTATAAATTTATAACTTTAAATAATATATATATTTATATGTACAACTGAAACTTTATTTAATATGGTTATAAGTTTTAATTTTTAATTTCATAAATTTTACCATCCTAGCTTGATCAGCAGAAGCTTTCATTTTAGCATTATAAACAAGTATATTGGAAAAAAAGAGTTAAATTTAATAAATAATCTATTAATTATGTGGTTTTTTTTAGTTTAGTCTAAAAATAATATTTTTTAAAAATAATTTATAAACTATCAATTTTGTTTCAAAATAATCTACTTGGCAAACAATCTATTACCTAGACTAATGGATTCATTACTGGCTTGCCATGTAAGAGGGGGGAGGGGAGTGGGGAGGGGGAGAGCATTAGCATTGTTTTAGTAATTGGGCTCAAGCTTTAGTTGATTTTGAACTAGATTTCGATCTATCAAGGCCCCTCATAGGATTTTGTCATTTTGATTTCCAGGCTTCCAATGCTTAAACTTGGGCCTTGGGCAGGGGTATTGGGAGGATAATGATTAATAATAAAAAAAAAAAATGATAAGAGTTTGGATTACCTTACATTTGGTAACTTGTTACACCAATTTCTTAATTTCTCTACAACTTATTTAAGACAAATTTTATAACAAAAAATAATTATTATATTCTAGAACCCAAAAAGTAAACTTAATATAATACACAAAATGTAGCTCGTAACATCATT